CAAAAGTTTCAAAGCAAAATAATATTTTTATAAATGGAGATATTCTAATGAAAGGGGTTGCAGATAGTCAAAATGGGTGCTATTGTCTTGAAAGAATACATATTTTTGCTTTTTTTAAAATCAGGATTCTCAAAAGTGTTCAATATTAACACTTAAGGACCAATGTTCTATCCAAGAAAGGGGGGGGGGTGTCATCATTATAATTTGTAGTACTATTTAATTTAATTTAATTTATCAAATTTCTATGCCACCCAACTCCCAAGGGATCTAAGGTAGCATTTATTAAAATATTTGAATGTGATAAATGTGGAGGGTCCTTTTGCATCCATATGAAATCACCCACCAAAGTGGTTACCATTTGTCTACTTGTGGTCACCCACTTTCGAACTGCTGGGTTGGTGGTAACTGGACCATGTGACAAGAGCTCATCCCATCCCGTGACAGCAATAGGTCTCAAATGATTGTCAGCCCTGCAGTCTAACCTCATGAGCCACCACATTCCTTAAGTAAAGTAAAGTAAAGTAAAGTAAAGTAAAGTAAAGTAAAGTAAAGTAAAGTAAAGTAAAGTAAAGTAAAGTAAAGTAAAGTAAAGTAAAGCCAATGGCTTTCTAAGAGTAAATAGAGTAGGGTGTTGAAATTTTTGGATGAAATGGAGCTGACCAATTTTTTTTCATTACCAAATCCCAATAACATGATTCAAGAGACTAGTTTTCACATTCTGGAAATCTTCCAACAGCCATTCTGGCTGAGGATGGTGAGTGTTGAATTCTAATACATTTAGAAGAGATAAAGATGGAGAACACAATCTACAAGTCTGAATATGGCAAGAATTATTCATATTTCACAATGATTTCATTCATTTTTTCCCCTTAAAAGTCCAATAACAAAGCTAAATTTAGATTATTTGTAAAATTATTCTAGTTTTTCTTGGGAAGAGCATTACTGGTTAGACTGGCTTGATAGGTGCTCAAACTTAAAAAGATAATTTGTTTCTGTTGATTTTATTCCAGCATATTACAGTAGTTGCAGTATGATTCTTCTTTGAAAGGGATAAGGGATATCAATTATGAAGAACTAAGGCCCTAGTTAGAAGCCTCAATTATGGTACATCATGCATTTAGTGGCATCATGGCACAGTATGAATCATTTGCATGATGATATCATGAATCATTTGCATGATGATATCATGGATTTATGAGTTGTCACTCACTTGCCATGGACATCATTGTCATGGGAGATATTACTATTTTTAATTTTGTTTTGCACCTCTTGCTTTTTTGGCCAGAAAATGTTTAACTTCTCATTGTAAAACGTTGAAACATTTTTCTCTTTTACTTAACTCTTCACATATAATTCTTTTATTTCAATCTGCTCCATGTTAAGTATGGTATTGTATGTCACATTTCCCTGATATGTGATGTTTCCCTTGGATGTTTTTCTTCTGTTTAAAAAAAGTAGGGCAGTATTTATACAGAGTTTATCTTATGTTATATGAAGTTATAAGAAGAAAACCCAAAACACAGAACAAATTCCAAAAGCAACCAGTTTAAACTATTCTAAATGAAATACATTTAAAGGTATTTTTTCTCTTCGTGCACTGTTACTTTTGATTGATTAGAAGTATTAAATTACATAATATCAAATTGTTGTCAGCTCTTAGTGACTACATAGATAGATTTTCTCCATGACGATCTATCCCTAACCTGGTTCTTCAAGTCTTCAATGACTCTCCCAGTGCCACAGTAAATTAGTCTATATATCTTCCGACTGCCTGTCCATCTCTTTCCTTCAATCTTTGCCAGCATTAAAGCCTTTTCTGGAGAGCTGGATCTTTGTATAATGTGTCTAAGGTAGGATAATTTGAACCTGATTATTTGTGCCTCAAGTGAGAACTCTGGTTTGATTTGTTCAATGATCCATTGGCTTGTTTTCTTGGCTGTCTATGGTGTTACTGTTTCAGGAACAATTTTTTTATTCCAAACATTAGGGACAACAGTACTATCCACCATACTCATCTTAATTTTTCAGTCCGCTGGTTTCTGAATTTTAAGTAAATCTTGTCTGTGTTGAGTAAGTGGCAAAATTAACTTGCAGAAAGGCTACCATTGTTCAGGTTCTGCTTTCTCCCATACACCATGTCTTGAATTCCTTTCCCCAAACAGCAGGTAAATATGTTTGGCTAGCTGAGGTGTCTGGGGTACCAGTTAAAATGGACAGCTGTCCCTTGAAGCAGCATGGAAGTTTTGGGTGCCATCGTTTCTCAGACAATTTATGACAGTTTGCATTGTGTGGAAAGAATTTTGACATTTGAGGGCACCTGGGGTGCACAGCTGCTGCTCTTTAGTGATGGTGAATTTATTATCTGTTTGGAGGCTTGAAGAACTGTAATTATTTTGGATATACTGAAGAGTGTTCTTCCAAAGAAAATGCTTGTGATGAGCTATTTTTTTAAACACACATACACATTTTCTAGCTGATTTCATTCCTACCTGTCATTTTCAAACTGCCTAAAGGTGCTTGCTTTAATAAGGACTTGATTCTCAAGTTCTTCTTTGTGTCTGTTTGTGTTTAAATCTGTCCAAGGGTGACAGAAACCTGTTATTAGCAGGCATCTCCCAATTATCTGCTAATTGGCTTCTCAGCAGACTTTCATAGAAAAAGTTTGTGGATATATGTCATCTTGGTCGCAAAAGGATGACTTTTAAGCAAAGGTGTAAAATTAATTCACATCTTCATCATGGTCCCATTATCCCCTGATGGTCCTTCTGTAGCTACTTCACCATGACAGAGGGAGAGAAAGAAAGCATGGTTGCTATCAGCCTTCTGAGGTTCCAGCTTCATTAGGAATTGTCCATTATTCTGAGGCACAGGGAAAGATTAAGACAGTTTTAATATCAGCAATAGCTACTTGATCTTTCTTATTTTCCTTCCTACCCCATCACCTTTGCTCATGCATTGTACTTTTCTTAGATTCTAAATCCAAGAGATTGTCTCTTTATTGAGCTATAACTACCACTCGGTAAATTTAGTTGAAAGTAGATATAGCATTTGCTACAGATATATTATTTGCTGCCAAAAATGATCTTTGCACTAAGCAAATAATGAAATGCAAAGACTAGGCAAATATACACAAATGGAGTCAAATGACAAATTGTCATGTAATCTGAAAGCAATGGTATGAAACTGATGCAGAGAGAGAACCAAATGAATTGAAAAACTGACAAAGACAGAAAATTAATTTATGGCTGCTTGGAAGTAATCTTCATTGTGTTTAGTCAGATTTAAGGCTTGGTAAATTTATGTGAAATTGATTTAGCACATTCTTCCTTACATGGCAATAAGAATCCATTGAATGTAAAATACATTTCTGAGTAGGCAGATATTAGATTGCTTTAGAAAATGCATTCTGCATTCTTGAAAGCAGAAGCTTTGGGTTCCTAATTATTGATACCCTGTTTTCCCCAAAATAAGACATCCCCTGATAATAAGCCCAATCGGGCTTTTGAGCGCATGGCAATAAGGCCAAGCGCTTATTTCAGGGTTCAAAAAAATATAAGTCAGGGCCTTATTTTCAGGGAAACACGGTATATAGAATGTAAGATACATAGTGTTTATCATTCCTTCTTTGTTTGGATTCAGTTTGGTTCTTAAAAAAGAAAGAAATTCTGGATGATAGGACATAGCTATTTCTCACATCCGTCTGAAATCAGTTTATTGCTATTAAAGCATTTATAGGCCTACATTCTCTCTGTCCCTCACCCCATCTCAAAATTGGGGAATCATAATGTTGAATATGATGAGTACAGGAATATCTGCGGGGTTGATCAATGATGTCGAAATTTTGACATGCCCAAATGTTTGACTTCCTGCTGCTCTTTGTAAGCATCAAAAACAAGCAGAACTTTTGATCACCTGGTCATATCTACCATTTTTATGACATTAACCTCTCCTCCTTATACTTCCTGGGATCGGATTTCTTGTTCTCTTCTTTTCCTTTGCCCCTTTTCAATCAAACCTCAAACCATTTTTCCTCAGGGTCCTGGAAAGCCAAAATAGGGTTTTGTTTCTTTTTGGTTAATCTTAGTAAAAGCATTATCCAAGCAGTATTTCACTCTAATGCCAACATTTTACAAGTGCAAGAAACTCAGTTTTAAAGGACAATTATGATCATCATCATTATTCTCATCCCTAAATACTGTGGTACTTTGACCTTTGTATGGCAATGGTAGATCTCAAAAGAACGTTGTTGCTCAGGGCAAAACTAAATCTTTTTTTCAAAATCTAGTAGTCTAACTGCAGAAGCACCCCTACTTTGTTTTAAAGATTGACCTGGGCTATCTACTGTTTTAGATTTTACTTTTTTCTGGTCTGCTGGTTTTATGGAAGGTCTTAAATGGGGCAGAACACCTGAAACAAGTACTCTTGCAGTAGTACCGAATAGGGACTTTGAGTGAATAGAAATGCTGCACAAATTCAACAGATAATTCCACAAGAATTGGATAGTCAGTTCATAATTCATAATGAGAGTGAATTGATTTTCTGAAAATATCCTCAAGCAGAATCTTTTTATCCCTCATGATACTAGGTGGCAGCCTGGACTGGATCCTCCTGGTTCTCCAGGCACAGGTAAAGGATGCCCTTCCTCCCCTAACATGCTTGGGCCTGGGGGCTACCCACAAAAGGCCCTCTGTGAATATCTTAACATATGGGCAGCATAGATCAATTTACAATGGAAGCAACAGAGCTTAACTTTTGAGTTCATTCTGAAAACTTACACCATTTCTCAAATCAAAAGGCAGTCATTGTTTCACAACCAGCCTGTATCTTGAGATTGGCAGAGAGGTGCCAGTGGGATTTGATTTGGCTAAGGCTTGTTTTTTTTCCTCTTGTTCCCGTTCTTCTTCATTTATTCTGGGAAAATCAGATTCTTTCCTTTTCAGAACCTGTATTGGACTAGAGCTGGAATTAATTACTGATGGAACTGCTGTATTTCCTTGTAGCCCCCACGCCATCCCGGATCGCCTGCGAATCAGAGTGAATAGGATTAGCTTGCAAGATTACGAGGGACTGCATTATGACAAGGAAAAACTCCGAGAAGTTTGTAAGTTTTTTTTTAAAGTGGGGTTTTTTTGTCTGTGAATTACCCTTGTATATGGTACATTTCATTCTGCAATTTTTTTGTGTGACTAATTGCCAGAAGGGCTGGTTTTTCCTTCATGCTTCACAGAAGCCAGTCATTGTAAAAGTTGCCTTCAAACAAAGTTTTTCAGGAGATAAATGCTGGGGAGTATTTTTGTCTATTTGTACCAATGTCACCTTTTAAAACGGGTCATTATTTTGAGAGATATAAAAAAGGATTTCGCCATAAATTTCATTGGTAACTTTTTGGAACCTTCTACACTAACTTTGTTTTAGCAGAGCCTGGGAGATTTTCATCACATCAAATGTGGCTCGCATTTATTCCTTTTTTTAAATCAGAAACTCATCAGCCTCTGCATATGAAGAGGGGTCATACAAATGAATGATGTATATAAATAGCAATCGTTTATTTTGCAACAATAAAGCCAACTGGGGAAATAACGTTTTTAAAAAGCCCGTGCTGTAGAAATGTATTTGCAGAACAATTGAAAGCAGTCATTTTTATTTTAAAAAGTTATTTTTCTAGCTATCAAGAGTACGATTTTCATTTAAAGTTTCCAAACTTGTGATTTTACAAGACAATAGCTGTCTTCAGGTATTATGCCTGAACAGGAGATTCTAAACAGCATGACGGACAATCTGCAATATTTCTTTCTTTTCTAACAGCAAGATTTGCCTTCTCTCTCTCCCCCTCCCCCTCTCTCTTTATATATATCAAATTTATATTTCGCTGATAAAGAAATAAAGGGACACTAGTAGAGATCTATTTCAAGCTATTTAGCTCTCATCAGGTAGCCATACCCTTACTTGGATTCGAACTTGGGCTGCCTGCATGTTAAGCAGTTGTATTAACCTCTGAGCCACAAGTTCTCCTCCCTTTATCAGCTTGAGCCAGGGGAGAGATTAAGTGTTTTTCTATTGAGACACCTGGTCTACCCCAGCATGTGGGAGGGAGCATACTGCATCCCTTATATATACAACCCTTATATATTTTTTTGAACCCTGAAATAAGCGCTTGGTCTTATTGCCATGCGCTCAAAAGCCCAATTGGGCTTATTATTAAGGATGTCTTATTTTGGGGGAAACAGGGTACACACACACACACACACACACACACACACACACCTTTAGAGTTCAGCATTGTTATTCTTTGGTCATGTAAGTGAACTGATTCATTTTAAATGAAGAATGAAATGAATTCTTTACATATAGAGTTTCAAGTCCTGGGAATAGCTATGTGTGGCAGAATGAAAGGCGTGTTATTAAATGTTCTTCTATCCTTTGTATTTTCTGTTAATGTAAGCCATTATGAATACTGGAATAAACAAAAAAGCAGGGCATAAATTCAGTAATCAGTAGATACTTATACAAACATAAATGCAGCATACAAATACCACTTAAACGAATGTTGGTAATCAGTTATTACTGTGTATGGTGTTTACTATCATGTAGTTGTGTCTATCCGTATGCACAAATGATTGAGAAAATGAAGAAGAAACAGATATACGTGGTCGTTTCCTTCAAAGGGCAGAATGTCATCAGAAAGGTTTCAAAATAGATTGCCTACCTGTAGTGGAATTGATATCAATCTTTTCTGAAAGTGTGCATGATGAGTTGACAGATACATAAGGGAGGAAATCCATTTAGATGAGACCATAAATAGAATGAGAGTGTAAATTTATTTACACCGATTTGGGATAATCCAAGTTAATATTAGAGTACTTACTGTTCGTCACGGAGATTTAGCTCCAGAAAGAAATCTTAAATGGGTTTATTGCAATATTTTTTTTCATTTTTATTATAAACCCACAAGTTAAAATTTATTTCTTCACCTAAAAAACAAGCAGCCCAGAAGATATACAGAAAAATCCCCAGATTATTTCTTGTAAAACTTTTTTAGATTTATACAATCTTTATAGAAACATAGTCTATCAAAATCTGCATAAATCAAATTCATAAAATGAGTAAAAATGCATAGTGATCAACCTACAGAGCAAGCATATGGGATCTACTTCTTAAAAAGCAGGCTACAGTATGAAAAGTCATTAGGGGTAATGGTTTATGTTATAAAATTTACATTTAAAAATACAGATCCATTCTCACATACAGTATCATTTTAAATGGATTGCACAAAATACATTTGTGGGTTCATTGCAATATTTTGAAGAGATTAATAAAAACACTTATTCTTTAACTATTCTCCATTTTCTGATTTCAATAGTTTATTGTTTGGAAAGTTTGAAATATGGATATTAAAAAGAAATCTCCCACTTTTGGGAAACTGATCTTATATCTGTGGAGCAAAAGTCAGGCATCCTCAGTGAACTTAGCTGAGTAGTTTTGATCTGAGGAGAACAAACCCTATTGAGTTTCAAATTTACATGTTTTCCGTTCCTGGGATTATTGAGAAGAACTTTACATCCAAACTCTAACCTGTGGTTATATTTATCTGTGATTCAGGGGTGAAATGCTCCCGGTTCGGACTGGATTGCCTGATCCAGTAGCGATGGCAGTGGGTGGTTTGGAGAACCAGTAGCAAAAATCCCTGCCCCCCCCCACCATGCCCAGCTGAGCTGCACAATCTTCAGAGGCTTTTTTAAAAAAAATTTTAAAATAAGAGTTTCTACAACTCTTCGGCAGAAAAAATGCTTTTAAAAGTAAAAAAAAAAAGCCTCTGATGATCGCGCGGCTCAGCTGGGATCGTCAGAGGCTTTTGAAAGCATTTTTTCTACAACCTCTTTGGCTGAAGAGGTTGTAGAAAAAATGCTTTTAAAAACCTCTGACGATCCCAGCTGAGTTGCCTGATCGTCAGAGGCTTTTAAAATCATTTTTTTACAACCTCTTCAGCCGAAGAGGTTGTAGAAAAAATGGTTTTAAAAGTATATATATAAAGTTGGTCACGCCCACCCAGTCACATTATCCCCCACCAAGCCACACCCACAGAACTGGTAATAACAAATTTTACATTTCACCACTGCTGTGATTGGATGAAAATAATCATCTTATTTATAACTCCCATTTTAGACTTGGTTCAAACAAAGCAAAGCTCAATAACCATAGCTGAGGATGAGAGATGACAAGTATGATGAATAAAAACAAAAACAAAAACTTGGTTGCACTGGAAGTGTGGGAGAGAGGGATGACAGATCATGGGAGAAGAAGGTTCAAAGTAGCTCACGCCTGTCACAATATACTGTGACAGGAATGATCTTCCAGCTGGCTCACAGTAATGGCGGCAGTATTCTTCAGGAAGGACACCAAGCTGAAGACATGTATAAACTCTACTGTTGTTGTGCCAGAGCCTTTAGCATTTTGCCCACAGGCAAATGACTTTCCTCCAGTGAAACATTCTGCCTAACATACTTCAAGTTATCATTTATTCCCCAACAGGCTGTACGAAGTGTGTTATTATAATTTAAACAAAATGTATACTTCCCAGAAATCCTAGCAATTATCTTTGTAAAGAATGTTCTGCACAGCTGTGATGAAACCTTTCATTTGCTGAGTGACAATCAGCATCAGGAGCTGGAACAAGTGCTCTTAGCGGAATCTATATTCTCCCTGAAAAATATCATAAATCAGTTCTGGGGAAATAAGCAATGGATAAAGATATGGGTATGTTTGGGAACAGAATGCTGCCTAGTACTCAGAATAACCATCTTTTTGCTCAAAGATAAGCAAACCTATTAGAAGGTTTGTCATCCCATAATTCCTAGGGAACCCCATATTCTGCAGCATGGTTACATAAGAAACGGCCGTCTTTGTAATTGAATACAAATAATGAGCCAGATGGATGAACAAAACTCCATTAAACCCTTATCTCCAGGAGCCATATCCTGCATTGATTAATGACTCAGTGTGTGTCACTGGGAAAGAGACTTCGTTTTGAAAAGTTAGCATCCACCGTGCTGCAGGCTCAGCTAACCTCTTCTTTTGATTTTACACCATTAATTCAATGTGACAATTAATTATTGTGGTGTTATCTCTAGAATTATGTTTTGTTTTTGATTCTTTGTTTCCTCAGTTGGGATGGTGAGGGGTTTCAGGCAGATCCATTATCCTGTGAAATTAAAAGGAAAATTTCTCAACCACTGCAGAAATATTAGCATTAGGCTATGAATATTTTAAGAAATTACTGCCGTGCCAGATGAGAGGAAAACATGTAGTTCAATAGTCTGCCCAGTCATACAACCTAGGTAGACATTACAAGGGAGACATGATCCACAAGGACAATTTCTAACTCTACCGGCCTCCCGATCTATTAAGATGATAACTTCCAGAATTCCAAATTGGTACACACACACAATAGATATAGTTTGACTTAATAACTAATGCATCCCCTAAAAATATTGTCTGGCTTTTCACTTTCAGTACTACATTTGCAATAATATGGTGATGCAAATCCTTCTCTCATGCACTGGGTCCCAAAGTTACAGTATTTGGGTCATGGTGTCATATGTCACTAGATCAGAGGTCTTCAAACTTGGCAGCTTTAAGACTTGTGGGCTTCAACTCCCAGAATTCTCGATGTCAGCTATGCTGGCTGGAGAATTCTGGGAGTTGAAGTCCACAAGCTGCCAAGTTTGGGGACCCCTGCACTAGATCCTGAGTTCCCTTCTACAGATGCTCATGACTATATTGTTTCATCATTTTATTCTGTTCCAAAAGCCTCCATGCATTGTTCAAAGTGGATGTTTGTCTCACTATCTTATCTTTCCATTATTTAATAATTCCCAAGCACTTTAGATCCAACTTATATTTCTTTTTCTTGCCATCTACAGTTTTCCTCTGGCAGAAGGTATGTTTAGCCAAACCTGAGAAGATTACTCAGAGTGTAGCTAATGAGGGCAATATGGACATTAAATTAATTGTTTCCAGAATCTGCCTCCAATTGGGAACATCAATGTACACTATCTCTAAAGCATTAACCAGCTAAAATCTCTTGAATGATAGGAAGGTCAAAAGGTTGAAAGCATAAAGCATTTGGTAAAGGCTTCTTTCAAGCATGGGTCTAACCTTAATCCTAAAAACACCACAAGATGATGGCCTTTTGTTTGGTATTTTCCCACCCCTGCCAAAGGTACTTTGTTGAAATGGAATGACTGCTTTGTTTCAACGGAATATTCCCCAAGATTTCCCAATGAGAACAATTCTCTAAATGGACACATTTTAATAGAGAAAATATAAGCAAGCATCATTAGAGTTTATAGATCAGAACACATTCTCTCTTTCTTTTTTTTGGAAATGTAGATTTACATTCAGGATTTCTGGCAGGGGAATAAATCAGGGGTGAAATGCTACTGGTTTGGACCAGTTCTCACTGAGTAAAAAATGCTATTGGTTCGGGCGAACTAGTATTTCTGACGATCAGCTGGGTGACGATCAGCTGTGATGTGTGATTTATATTAGTTAGAATCATCGGATTTCTTGCTTTCTAGCTAATCTAAATTGCGTGGCACAGCGGATTCCTCTCCCCTCGCTGTTCTACTTACCTGTAGTCTCGGAAGGTTTCAAAATGTTCCTTTTTTAGCACTGCACTGGTGTGCACTCGGTAACAAACTCATAGAACTGGTAGCAGACTTCAGAGGATTTCATCGCTAGAATAAATGTCTTCATCACTATGCCAGCAGAACTGGATCTCTCTGTTACTCTATTTATCCTCGTGGCTAGTTTCTGTGCCATGTCAAGGGATATGCCTCAAGGATGGGTTCTACTTACCTTTACCACCAGTTCACAATGGGATCACGCTTCTGCACATGCGCAGATCACTGATGATGACATCCAAGGTGGTGGGCAGGGCCTCCCGCTGGTTTTACTACCGGTTCTTGTGAACCGGTCCGAACCGGGGGCAATGCACCACTGATATGCCTCCCACATCAGCACATTACTTAAAACCTGGTCAGCAAATCATGCCAGAGGGCCACTTGGAGGAGAAAATTTGGAATAGCGAACTAGTCACAAATTCCTTTTGTAAATGATGGATGGCAAGATTTTTTGTTTTGTGAGGGAGAAGAAGAGGGTCTCCTTCCATAGCTACACTATTCATTTCTGAGAAAGCACTTAGGGGGCTTTTTTTCCCCTCTCCTGGGGAAGTTTGAAGGTTTACTATTCATTTTAGTTTGGCGTCTAACAGGAGAGGTGCATCTTTACTGATGCCTCTGCAATCCCACTCTGCTGAAATTAAATACCATTAAGTATAATTGACTAACTTTTGACAGGCTACGTATATTCTAATAACATTTTTAAGATGAGCAGTAATTACATAGTTTCTTCATCTCAGCAGGTGGTGGCACCTGGCTGATCTTTATCTGGGTTCAGAAATTAAATTGGGTTGGGACTCACTTGAGTATTCAGGGAATGCTGGGGCTCTAGGCTAACTGGGAATTTTGAAGATGACAACCTCCTTCTGTATTGCTACCTAGAAAACAACATAGAATTGTCCATGAGTCACCAGGAATAAAATGCAGCTTGAAGGATACTTTTCTATATTCCCTTCAGATCTTATATACTGTATACATAATGCCCAACTTTTTGGTTACACATTTTAACATTATTCATTCTTATTGTTATTATCATTATGCGTCTATAGCTATTCCACTGGGAATTATAGTTGTCCGAGGAGATTGTGACTTGGAGACTTGTCGCATCTATGTGGATCGCTTGGAGGAGGTGAGTAGATTAAAAAAAGGACATGGTTTTCATCTAGAATATACATTAGACCTGTACAAGGATATCCATGAATTCCATTTGGATCAAAATGTGCCAAAGGACAGATCAAAAGCAAAGAAAGTTCATCAGACTAATATATATGAAGGTCAAGCAACTCAAGAGAGTTCCCATAAGAATCACTTGCTTATGATCTTCTGGAGACTGACAATCTGATTGTTAGGTAAAGGTAAAGGTTCCTGTCGCACATATATGCTAGTCGTTCCCAACTCTAGGGGGCCGTGCTCATCTCCGTTTCAAAGCTGAAGAGCCAGCGCTGTCCGAAGATGTCTCCGTGGTCATGTGGCTGGCATGACTAAACGCCAAAGGCGCACGGAACGCTGTTACCTTCCCACCAAAGGTGGTTCCTATTTTCCTACTTGCATTTTTATGTGCTTTCGAACTACTAGGTTGGCAGAAGCTGGGACAAGTAATGGGAGCTCACCCCATTACGCGGCACTAGGGTTTCAAACCACTGAACTGCCGACCTTTAGATCAACAAGGTCAGCATCTTAGCCACTGAGCCACCGCCTCCCTTTGTTAACTCCTAACCTACCTCTATTTCATGAGTTAAGATTATCTGCCACAATTGTTAGCATACTAATCATTGCAGGCATGCTGATTACTACTTCTTCTGCATTTGCCATAGTCCACTTTCAGCACAGTGCCAAAAGGTTGAAGGACATGTAGCAATATCAATAGCACTTAGACTTATATACCACTTCATAGTGCTTTATAGCTCTCTGCGAGCAGTTTACTAATGTCATCATATTGCCCTCAACAATCTGAGTCCTCATTTTACTAACTTCAAAAGGATGGAAGGCTGAGTCAACCCTGAGCCGGTTATAATCAAACTCCTGGCAGTAAGGGAGACTCAGGGCGGCTTACAATGTGTTAAGCAATAGCCTTCATACTTTTGTATATTTATACAAAGTCAGCTTATTGCCCCCACAAACTGGGTCCTCAATTTACCTACCTTAGAAGGCTGAGTCAACCTTGAGCCTGGTGAGATTCGAACTTACAGTAATTGCAGACAGCTGGTGTTAATCACAATGCTATCAGTCTGCTGAGCCACCAGGCCCCTATTGCAATTTTCAAGCTCTACCTTGGCTTTCCAAGGCTGGTTTATCTTCCCTTTATCCCTAACCTCATCTGGACATTTCACAAGTTCAGAATAGAAGTTGGAATGATAAAAAGTGGAATTACTATGTTGTGTATACCCTGAGGTGTGAAAATGTGTACCCCCTTTAAATCAAATATCAGGACTCTTTCTGGTTAAAAGCCTGGAGAGATGAGGATTTCCTGGTCATAAAAGGCACTGAGAAACTAATTAACAGGACAAGCAACTGTTAGTGGAATGGTTGTGGCTGGAAAGAATCAAACATAGAACATAGAATAATTGAGTTGGAAGGGACCTTGGAGGTCTTCTAATCCAACACCTTGCTTGACTAGGAGATTCTATATCATTTCAGACAAATGGTTGTCCCGTCTCTTTTTGAAAGCCTCCAGTGATGGAGCACCCACAACTTCTGAAGGCAAGCTATTATATTGGTTAATTGCTGTCACTGTTAGGAAATTTTTCCTTAGTTCTAGGTTGCTTCTCTGCTTGGTTAATTTCCAACCATTATTTCTTGTCTTGCTTTTTGGTGCTTTGGAAAATAGTTTGACCTCCTCATCTTTGTAGGAGCCTCTCAAATATTGAAAGAGTGCTATCATATCCCCCCAGGGTGATCAACCTTTTCTTAAAAATCTGGACACAGTGGCATGACATATTTTTTTTTAATTTGATTTATATGCCACCCTTCTCCGGAGACTCAGGGCGGCTTACAATGCGCTAAGCAATAGCCTTCATCCTTTTTGTATATTTATACAAAGTCAGCTTATTGCCCCCACAAACTGGGTCCTCAATTTACCTACCTTAGAAAGGATGGAAGGCTGAGTCAACCTTGAGCCTGGCGAGATTCGAACCTGCAGTAATTGCAGGCAGCTGGTCTTAATAACAGTGTGCTTTAGACCACTGTACTACCAAGGCTCATTTAAAATCCTTAAAAATTAAACATTAAATTAAACATTAAAAATCCTTGAGCATATGGTTGCCAAAAGCAGTCCTTAGTAACGTCCAAATAGTCACCAAGATTATAACGATCTTCGGTGGTTCAATTTTTAAGACTGAACCAACAAGAATTTGGCCTCTAGGAAAAAAAAATAAGTTTGCCATGCCTCTTCAAAATGAAACAAATAATGTCTGGTCTTCTTTCCTTTCAGTTATAAGTATTTGGAAGTAAATTTCAAGCCCCAGCGTGACATTTTATGGTTTAGGACTCAAAAAAAGAAGTTTGAAATGATTTCTTTTTAGATAGACGTGACTTGTCAAGAGCTCACTTTCAGTGCCCCATTAATTTCATTTCTCACTTTGTGATTCTAGGAAGCTTGGCACTAAGTGTATAGATGGATGATGGATGGTTTCATTTTTTTCCCCCACTGGCCAAGGCTTTTGCAAGAGAAGTTTTTTCTTTCACCCCCTTTCCCTGTTTCCCCCGTTCCCACATTTCACACAACACTGCTTGGATACACTGGCAACCTTCTTCTGAAGCCCTTTCTAGTCAGGGTTTTTGAACTGTAACTTCATCCCCTGCAGCGACAGGATAAGGCGGGTGGGATAGGGACATGAGATGCCTGGCTGTCAGATTGTCCCCATTCCTTCTGTAGTGCTGTCATTGGAAAAATAACTTTCTCATGGGTAAAGATGTGCTGATTGAGTGGACACCAAAATTGAAGGAATCAACACATTATGTTCTTAAATGCATAATGAGAATACCATCCATCAGTGACCTGGAGCAGATATAATAGAGAGAGGATAAGGGTCAACAATGAAGGCAGTAAATATCATGACGGCATAGTTTTCTCCCTACTCAAGGTTGGCTAGCTACTTAACTCAACCATGGGAAAAGACAATAACTGCCATGTACAAAGTGAGTATTTCCTTCATCCCTGAGTGACAATTATCTGCTTCTGTCTAGGGTCCTAGGCTAGGGTAATATAAAAAGGCAGAAGATCTAATCATCAGATAATTCTAAATCTCTTTATATAGAAATCAGATACTGTTCTTGGTTCCTTGGTAATGTTCTTGGGGACAATTGGAAAATATCAGGCCATTTTCGACTAAATTATCTGTAAGTCATCATTTGGCAGCCAAATCCTTGAATAATATTAATTTCAGTTTTATTTTGACTTTCTTAAAGCATATTCAAAGGATTACCTCCTATTCTTCCTCCACCCCCTCTTCTCTCATGTGTGATTATTTTGTATTGTTGCTGTTGTAACAGCCAGGAAAAAAAACGATGAACAATTTAGTTTTGCTAAACTAAGGGAGGATGAAATGAGCCTTAGTTAATCATTGTTTCCGTTGTAATTTCCTTGCCATAGGATTTGCAGTCTGTATCTTCAACAACACAGAGAGTCCACTACCAGGTAAAATTTATTTTGTTCCTTTTAGGGAAAAAAGAAAGGGAGGGAGGGAAGACTGAATTCCTTATGGACTTATTCAGGTTCAGATATTTTGAATAATATTCTTTTCCCTTGAAGACATTTTGCAGAATTTCATCATAAACAATCCAGAATAGAATAGAATAGAATAGAATAGAATAGAATAGAATAGAATAGAATAGAATAGAATAGAATAGAATAGAAAAGGATAGGATAGGATAGGATAGGATAGGATAGGATAGGATAGGATAGGATAGGATAGGATAACAGAACAGAACAGAACAGAACAGAACAGAACAGAACAGAATAGAATAGAATAGAATAGAATAGAATACTTTATTGGCCAAGTGTGGCCAAGTGTGATGGACAAGGAATTTGTCTCCAGTGCATAAGTTCTCAGTGTACATACAAACAACAAGGTAATATAATCACTATACATACAAACAAGAAGTGTACATACAAACAACAAGGTAATAAATAATAAAATACCAAAAGGAGAAGTAGTAGAAAAGATGAGAAGGATAATAATAATATAGCCATACACATGGGTAAATATCCTTAGACATAAGACAATACCATGGTAATTAGGTATTTTGGCATGCAATGCCCTGTAGCGGTGTGCTGAGGGGAGAAGTTGAAACAGTTTAGGTCCAGGATGTGAGGGATCTGTAGATACTTTCTCAGCCCTCTTTCTGTCTGTCTCATGCAAAATGCAGGTCCTCAATGGAAGGTAGGATGGTTGGCATTGGTATAGGGTTTCCTGCCTGAGCAGGGGGTTGGACAAGAAGACCTTCCACCTCTGTTATTTTGTTATTATGGAACTGTTCTTTCTGCAGTCCTAACTATCCATTGAGACCTGTACCTGTCCTGTTTGTTTGCTGTACCAAATCAGACTATAGAAGTACAAATGACAGACTCAATAATTCCTCTGTAGAACTTCATCAACAGCTCCTGGGACAGACTGAACTTTCTGAGCATCGCAGTTGATGCAGCAATCCTGGATATCCTTGCTGAATTGTATATAATTTTTCCCACGTTGCAATAATCCAATTGGGAAGTTATCAATGTGTAAGTGACCATGAGCAGAGTCTCCTGGTCCAGGGATGGGCATAGTTGGTGGAAAAGACACAATTGTGTAAAGGTTTGAGTTGGCATTTGAATCAGACTTTGTCTGATTCTCACAGGCTTAATTCTTGTTATATGCAACTTATTGCCTTCCAGTGGCTCCTTATTTCCATCTCCACAGTGATTAACATTTTGGTCAATGTTTAGGCTTGATGGCAGCTATATAATCCAATGGAGACCTTCAGCTTTGCCTCTTTGCCCATTCTATCACTGCATAGATACACAAAAGGGAAAAATAAAGTCCAGCATCTTAGAAAGATATGTTGTAATGAGAACAGGATCTATGCATTCTTTTCAGTTTTCAGAACGGGAAGCCTCATGTTACCTCAATATACACAGGCATTCTTGATGCTTCTCTTTCAAAATATATGACCCAGCCTTTGCCCTACCCTATTTAGCAGTAGCCATAGAGCTTAAGGCTTCATAGTGCTTCATAGTGCTTTTATAGCACTATGCTTCACAGTGCTTTTACAGCACTCTCTAAGAGGTTTACAGAATCAGCCTATTGCCCCCAACAATCTGGGTCCTCATTTTACCCACCTCGGAAGGATGGAAGGCTGAGTCAACCTTGAGCCTGGTGAGATTCGATCTGCTGAACTGCAGCTAGCAGTCAGCTGAAGTAGCCTGCAGTACTGCACTCTAACTACTGCACCACCTCAGCTCTATGACCCAGCCTTTGCCCTATCCTATTTACCAAAATTATTTCTTCTGATTTCTTAAAAACTGTAACATCACATTCTCAAGTGACCAAGACTCTTGGTCTTGGAGAAGGATGCTATTGTGGATGGGGAATTATTTTGTCAAGTTTGTGACTAAGCACAATGCAAAGAAATACCAAATGTTTGTTGTATAACATTTCCAGATCAGCGCATAAGATGCCCTACAGTAGTTTTAGTTTGCATTCACAATTTAAATGATTATGTTTTTTAAACGTTGTCTGCACAGCAGGCATGTTAAATATTATCTCAACGAATGCTTTGAGTTGCATTTTTATCTGATTTGGCCTAAAGGGCCATTCTCTTATTATCTCTTCATGAACTTTCTGTCTATATCATGCTCTGCTGTGCATTTTCAAATACACATACATTCACTCCTGCAAGAGAACCTGAGACAGTCTAACAAAGAAGAGAGCCCCTGTGTTCTTTTAAAAAGTCTCTTTTTCCTTACTTTAGTAGAACATGTTCAATGAAATAAGAACTCCTGTTGTGAATGTCAGCTTTCTCCAGTCTTTTTATAGCAGTAAACCCTCCAAAAATCAATAATATCTGAAATTGTTCAGCATCTCACTAGAGCATTTTTAGTCTATAAAATAAATGTGTCAAAATTTTATAACTTGCTGCAATGTGATCCTTTCCAGATGTGCTTGGGCAGCAACTCTCAGGATACACACTCCAGATATTCACACATCTGAACACAACAGATACTAACTTGGAGAATATTGGTTTATAATGCAATTTTGATGAGACAATCATGATTCATCCAACTTGCCTCATAGACAAAGAAACATGGCATATCTCTATTGAGCATCCTTTTGTGAATTGCTAAGCTACCTCACATGTAACCTGCATCTGTATAATCAGATAATACTGTATAATCTCTTCCCTGTTTCCTCATCCCACCTGAAATCCTACATCAGTCATGCCATACTATACATCTGCAGCTTATAGAATCTTATGCCTTTTAACCAAATTCATTAGCCGGAAAAGATACTACCAGATGTCTTCTGATTTTTGTTGTTGTCATAGAATAGAGTAGAGTAGAGTAGAGTAGAGTAGAGTAGAGTAGAGTAGAGTAGAGTAGAGTAGAGTAGAGTGTGGAGAGTGGAGAGTGGAGAGTGGAGTGGAGTGGAGTGGAGTGGAGTAGAGTAGAGTAGAGTAGAGTAGAGTAGAGTAGAGTAGAGTAGAGTAGAGACGAGACTTTACTGTAACTTTAAAATGTACATTAATTAGCAAAGATTGAAGGCAAATGAGGTTCAGGCAGAAGAAGAACATCATGGCTTCAAAATCTAAGGGACTGGTTTGGACAAAACTCAGTAGCACTTTTTCATACGGCTGTTGATAAAAATAAGATCGCCAACATGATTGCCAACGTCCAATGACAAGAAGAAGAAGAATCAGCATACATTAAAATGAAATGTCTACATTCAGCTCTCAAAGGATAACCATTATGTATATACCCACAGACACACACACACGACATAGAGAAACATCACAGTTCTAATGATGTTTGACTAACATGCCTCTCCTCCTATAATTAACGTCTTTGCTAGATCTGCAAAAAGGCCCTTCAGCTTTTTGCATATAATTCATATTTTTTGACTTTTCATTTGGGATTAAAGTTATTTTTTATGCTTTATTGTTTTGTTTGGATTTCAAAGATGAGGATCTTTCTCTGGAATTCCTTTCCCCTAGGTGTCTTGCTAAAGTTAATCTCAGGGAAGGAAAGATGCCTGAAAACTCAGTATGAAAGGAGGAGGCTCTGAAAGAATTAGAGATATTCAGTTTTCAGAAAAGACAATTGAGAAGGGATGTGATGGCACTTTCACATTTCTAAGGAGGATTGTCTATTTCTTCTCATTCTAGAATGGAAGACACATAGGATAATTCTGCTAGAATATTTGTTGTTGTTGTTAGTTGCGAAGTCGTGTCTGACCCATCGCAACCCCATGGACGACATTCCTCCAGGCCTTCTTGTCCTCTACCATCCCCTGGAGTCCATTTATTTATTTATTTATTTATTTGTTTGTTTGTTTGTTTGTTTGTTTGTTTGTTTATTTATTTATTTATTTATTTATTTATTTATTTATTTAATTTTTATACCGCCCCCTCTCCCGAAGGACTTGGGGCGGTGAACAGCCAAGATTAAAAAACATACAATATAAACATTAAAATACATTTAAAACAAAATTAAATCGAAAATGGCTCCCCAATTTAAAATGCCTTACCCATAACCCTATAATTAAAACAAATTTAAAATTTCCACATTAAAAGGGGGAAGATTTAGGCCAGGCCAGCTTGATGAAATAGAACAGTCTTAAGCGCGCGGCGGAAGGTGCGCAGATCCGGGATCCTCCGTATCTCCGGGGGGAGCTCGTTCCAGATCGTAAGTGCCCCCACAGAGAAGGTTCTCCCCCTAGGGGCCGACAGCCGACATTGTTTGGCCGACGGCACCTCCCTCTCTATGGGAACGTACTGGCCGGTGGGAGGCTATTGGTGGTAGCAGGCGGTCCCGTAAATAACCAGGTCCTAAGCCATGGAGCACTCATTTAAGCTCACGCCTACTGCTTCAGTGACTCCATCCAGCCACCTCATTCTCTGTCGTCCCTTTCTTCTTTGTCTTCAATCTTTCCCAGCATTAGGCTCTTCTCCAGTGAGTCCTTCCTTCTCATTAGATGGCCAAAGTAAGAATATTAAGAGAACTAGAATATTAAGAGAAGTTTAATATTAAGGCAGAGAGATTTGTTGGTTACACTAATTACCAAAATGGATATGACCTCTATTTCACTGAACAGGTAGTCCTTGACTTACAATAATTTGTTTAGTGACCGTTCAAAGTTAGGATGGCAGTGAAAAAGTGACTTATGACCATTTTTCATGCTTATGATTTTTCCAGCATCTACATGATCATGTGATCAATATTCAGATGCTTGGCAATTGATTCATATTTATGACCGTTGCTGTGTCCCAAGGTCATTTGATCACTTTTTGCAACCTTCTGACAAGCAAAGTCAATGGGGAAGCCAGATTCACTTAACGGCCGGGGTAACTTATCAACTGCAATGATTCTCTTAACAACCGAGGCAAGAAAGGTCCTAAAATGGGGCAAAATTCACTTAACAAATGTCTCTCTTCAAAAATTTGGGCTTAATTGTGGTTTGTAAGTTGAGGACTACCTGTATATTTTCAAACAATGGCTGGGCAGCCATCTTGTAATGTTTTAATTTGGATTCCTGCATCCAGCAGAGGTTAAATCTGATTGTCTACCTGTCCCCCTCTATGATTTCACATTTTTGGTATATTCTCTATGTGAAGGGAATATAGAATTTTGCAATAGGAATAGTTCCTGCCAAAGCAACATAAAGACTTTTTTTTTTGTTTATGAAACTATAGTATCTTTAAATCTCTGTAATTGGTATCTGAAGCATAATTTACATTCTATCAGGTGTAATAAAGGGAATGTTATTGGATAACGTGAATCAAGCTCAGGGGTAGAAGCTAAGAAAAGGAATCTCAGTGTTTCTCCTGGGACAAAAGGGAAGCTATTAAAGACCCAAATGCCAAGCTAATGAGCATAGTGTGCTTATCTGAAATTTGAGATGAAGAATTTAAGCTGAGGAACATCTAACTCACGTCATAGGTTGGCTCAGAAACTGACTGAAGAAAAAAAAAATATTGGTTTGCTGTATATCAAGAATACCAGGCTGTGCCAGGGACATAGTCATTTATGAAGTCTTATCACAGTCCATATGGTATTTGCTATTCAGCTGCATATTTCTGGCCATGGTCCTTTCTGCCCATCAACTTGCGGTTATTAACTGAGTTGGAATTTATAACGAACTGCAAGCTGTACGTCATATAGACTTTTGTATAGGTTTCTCAGTGCAGTTTCTAGAAGACAGATATTAAAACGAAACATTTATACTTGTGTTATCCTGAGAATACGTGATGGAATGATTGAAAACAAGGACTTTTAAAAGGACTAATTGGCCATAAAGTGACATTTTGTAGCTCTTCTGCTATTTTTCTCTGGTGAATTTACAGTGAAATCAGTCACAGTATTTTTTTTTTTCTTTAAACAAATCTTTTTCAAAAAGGGAGGAAGGACTTGCTAATGCTTGTTTAGCAATATGGCAAACACAGTAGGCTGTCCAAGTAACCAAGCAGCCATCTATCATAGCATGTCATGTTTGATAGATTTCCACCCTTTGATAAAATTGAGTATAGTTGCATTACAGCCTCGAATCAAATGGGGAATCAAATCAATACTTGGATAAGTCAGTGATTGCACAGGGCAGCTGGTTATCAGAAGCCACCTTGAGTGAATTCAGGGATGCCTGTCTATCATTTTTGGTCACCCTTGACTGAATATATATAAACTGTCAGAAAAGTTCTTTCCTGAGTAATGTTGAAAACTGCCTTATTATGGGCCATACTATTATTCCTCCTTGGTTCAGTATTGTATGGATTTCCGGAATTTCAGACAGAACTCCTTATCAATCTTTTTTGGAAAGGTTAATAACTAGATCTAGGAAGAACGTTGCCTTACTAAAGCTGCAGTATCTGCTGCGGTATTGTTCTATTCACTGCTGCTTTTATCAAACTGCTGTTGAAAATTGTGTTTTCTTTCTGTCCCATCCAGGACCAGGAAAGCTCATTCCCAAGAGTATTGTCTGTTCAGAGACTATCCCCTAGATGGTGCTTCCTAGATGGTAAGAATGAATCACAGTTGGCTCCCATGACCTTACAAGAAAATGGCAGACTCTACATTTCTTTATATGCTTATCCGGAAATAAATTCTATCTTATTCAGGAGTATTTGCTCTCACACATTTGCTGATTATTTCAAAAAATAAGAGTTTCAACTAGATACAGGAGCTTAAAGATTTTATATATGGTTATTTGCTTAAAATCAGGGGGCTATGCGTGATTGATAATAAGCATGGTGAAGGTATCTACGTTGGGTTCATCCTTATGTCATCTTTGCTGCAGCACAAAGATGTTTTATAAACATTTCTGAGGGACCTGTTCTCATGGCATAATCTCAATCTCATCGGCAATCAATTGATGAGGCAATTTAGAGCTGTTTTTAGTTGTTCCAATTTGGAAGTGGTCTTGTCCTTTTTTCGCCCAGCACAAAACATTCAATGTGGACATTTAGAGCACTTCAAAGGATGACTTGGCCAGCGACAGTGATCTTCTCAACTCCAATTGGCTCAGTAGATTTATAGAAATGCGTCCTCCCTGTCCAGTTAGTGGACAATAATCCTCTGTGATCATTTGGGTCATTTGTGAGACAGAGTGGGCATCAGTGGTGGGTTGCTCCTGGTTCTGTCCAGTTCTTTAGAACTAGTAGTAAAAGCGGCGGGAGACTCCGCCCACCTGCCCAGACATCATAATTGATGATCTGCGCATGCGCAGACGTGTTCCGATTGCGAACCGGTAGTAAAGGTAAGTAGAACCTACCCCTGGTGGGCATCTCCTCTTTTTCTCTTTACCCTTGAATATTGAACTCCCAGGAGATCTGTCAGCCACCTGTCTGTACATCTGTCAGGCAAGAACCCTACAATATGGTTTTTGTGTATAAGTGTGTTCATCTGTTTGCTGGGAAGGTCATGAAGTAGAAAAAAACCTTCTTATGTGGACCAAAACAAAAGTGTAATGAAGGCTGATGGATAAAGACTCTTTGTCTAGTCCAGTGGTCTTCAAACTTGGCAGCTTTAAGACTTGTGGACTTCAACTCCCAGCATTCTTCAGTTAGCTGGCTGGAGAATGCTGGGAGTTGAAGTCCACAAGTCTTAAAGCTGCCAAGTTTGAAGACCTCTGGTCTAATCAAAGATAATTTTGGTGGGAAGTTAGCCTTAGAATGGATAAAGGAAAGACAGATCTAATGCTACGATAGTGTTGCTACAGTAGACACAAGCATATATCCTAAGTGTGATTTAGGATTTTCTGCTTTTTATTACAAATCACTTAAGCAGACTTTTGGGAGATGGGGCCTTGACACTGGTACTTATTTTGTTGATAGGACTATAGCTCCATGGAACACTTTCATAAATGCTGCCATGTAGAGGAAGCTTGAATAACCTCCAGTTAGAAGCAATCCCAAGAGATTGACTGCCCTGCAGAAGATGTATCCACTGAATAATAACAATAAAATAAAATGATTTTTTAAAAAAAATAAAAATTAACATTCCAGCCCTATCCAAGTCAGGAGAGACAGGGCTTCCCTGGAAGCAGCCGCCAACTGGGAAGGGAATTCTCTGCCACTCAAGTTTACAAAAAGCCAAATCTTTTCAATTTGTCAGCCCTTCATGGGAGGCAGTACTGGAACTCTGCTGTGTTGTTGCAGAGCATAATAAAAGAATATTGAAATCCTGACAGAGATTCTTTCTATCACACTGTTTCTTATACCAAAGAAAATCAAGGTTGGGCAATCTTGAGTTTCTTTCTCACTGTCTCCTTTTTAGAGCTAAGCTGGGGTTTACTTAATGGCTGTTGAATACTTTCTCCAAGGCCATCTCTGTATTCTTCAATACAGTCAGGGGTGAACTTTGACCAGTTTGGACTGGTTCGGGCAAACCGGTAGGGACAACTTGAATCGGTTCGCCGAACTGGTAAAAACCACCCCTGGTTGGCCCCGTCCATGCCCGCCCGCTCGCCTGGTTGCCGCTTACCCCTTCTGGCCACTTGCTCCTTCCGGCCGCACGACCCATTCAACGTTAAATGCTGCAGCAGAGAAAATCTGAACTTTTCTCCCTCCAGTCACAGCGGAGCTGCTGCAGCCTGTCCCTTTAAGATACTTCGACCCCCAGGAGAGAGGAGAACCGGGGGGGGGTATCATAAAGGGAGCAGCTGCTCCACTGTGAATGGAGGGAGAAAAGTTTGTCTTCTCTCTGCCACAGCATTCACTATGAGCCCTTCTGGTGCTCATACACACATTGTTTCCTACTGGGTTCTGTGGGCGTGGCTTGGTGGTGGGGTCATGTGATTGAGTGGGCATGGCCATGAGGGACATCGAGTTGGCCACGCCCACTGAGTCACAGGACCCCACCACCACCAAGCCACGCCCACAGAACCGGTAGAGAAAAAATTTGAATGTCACCACTGAATACAATTATACTTCCAAAGACTTGCATGAAGCTAGCCACCTCATACCGACAATACCAACCACTACCAAATTCACTTCTGTTTAGACGTAGTTATGAGCAGAAAAACCTCATGGCTGTAACATCTGACTTAATTTTGGAATGCATTTCTAATTTCTTCCCATTCCCTTCCTTTTTGTGCCATCGTGCTTAATGAAGAGGTCTGAAGAAGGGAAAAGTTTCATGCTCTTTTGTCTCAGTTTCATTGATCCCAATTGAGGTATTGCTTAGCTGTGTAGTTTGGATATTTTTTTCCCTTTCGGATGGATCAAACACAGTTTTTCACACCAGTCTTTCCTCTTTTTTTTTTGCAGCAACTTCTGCTGACCGCTTTTACCGCATCGACAGATCTCAGGTACAGAGATGATGTTGCTTTCCTTTTAACTTCTTCTCCTTTTTTTTTTCTTTATGGCACAGAATTGGGTTCACCGTTATAATAAGAAAAATGGGTTTTGTCAAATGTGACTCTCCTCCTATTATATACTTGTCTCTATTTCTTCTCTCCAGAGTTTTTCTAGGGCCCCTAAAACTGTCAAAAATAAATAAAATAAAATAGGCTTCTTTTTTTTTTTTCCCAGTTAGGAAAAGAAAAAACAAGCACTTTGAGGTCTGCATTCCACACAAAATTCCAGCTCTTCCCAGTTAGGGAGGATCAATTGGACAACCATTGGACTATTTATTATTTATTTATTATTTATTAGTTAGACTTCTATACCGCTTCATAGTGCTTTACAGCCCTCTCTAAGCGGTTTACAAAGTTAGCATATAGCATATTGCATAATAACATATTGCATTAGTATTAGCATATTGCCCCCACAATCTGGGTCCTCATTTTACCCATCTCGGAAGGATGGAAGGCTGAGTCAACCTTTGAGCCTGGTGAAAATCGAACTGCCAAATTGCAGTCAGCTGGCAGTCAGCAGAAGTAGCCTGCAGTACTGCACTCTAACCACTGCGCCACCTCTGCTCAGTGGCTAGGATGCTAAAAGGTCCCCTTCCTTGAGCAGGAGGTTGGACTAGAAGACCTTTGTGGTCTCTTCCAGCCTTATGATTCTATGTTGTTTCTGAGTTCCTTTCTCTCCTCATTATGCAGCTATGATGCTCCACATTAATTAGTAGCATGTGTTCCTTCATCTCTCAAGGTCATTTCTATATAGCGATAACACTTAGACTTATATACTGCTTTGCAGTGCTTTAGAGCCCTCTCTAGGCGGTTTACAGAGTCAGCATACTGCCCCCAAACAATCTGGGTCCTCATTTTACCGACCTCGGAAGGATGGAAGATTGAGTCAACCTTTGAGCCTGGTGAAAATAGAACTGCCAAATTACTGGCAGCTGGCAGCCAGCAGAAGTAGCCTGCAGTACTGCACTCTAACCGTGGCTCATATATACCATGATGCATACTTGTAGTATGTAAAACTGTTTCATACATATAACCTTGTAGAAATGCAACAGATTCTTCAGGAATACTTCCCATCATTATGGATTATTTTGCGTCAATGATAAATTAAAACGATAGCATTGATTTTCAATGAGTGAATTCACAAGTACATAAGTCTAATATCTGAAAATTAAACCTAATATATTAACACCACAATATGATTAATATTAGTCAATATTTAAACATTAAATATTTAAAATTATTAATCTATTAATTATTAATGTTAAGAGCACGAATATAAAATTTGAGAAACTCCCTAGCATTGTCCTTAGTGTGATTTTAATTTAGAGCCGTGTTTTGCCATGTAAATTAAACACCTTATGAAAAATTGGCCCAGGGCACTCAAGGTCAAAGAAGATTTAAACCAAGAAGGATAAGTTTTGCTCTTTTTGCTTAAATCAGTTTGATGTTTAATAGCATAGATTCTTCTTTTTCTTTTCCCCCCCTTATCTTCATGAGCTTGGGATAGCTACATTAAAAAGAAAATCTTAGAGTTTATCTTGATGTCTACAGTTCCACAAAAATCCTAATCCTCTGTTTGTGAGATAAGATGACTCTGGAAATTATGAGAATGTTGGGCCCAAAGAAAATATTCACAAAGCTTAAAAACACATCAAATTAAAGTGACAGCATTTGTCAAAAACATAGCATTTCATGTGTTGCTTGGACACTGTCTGGAAGTTTTACAAATATGGAAGTCAGTCGGATTGGATTTGCTTTTATTGATTTTTGTATAATTCATTTAGTTTCTGTTCAGCTGTAAAGCAGAAGCCAAAATTGTGTTAGTCCTTTGGGGGAATTTTAAAAAGGTCTGCTACATCAGAATAGTTGCTTGTGCAGTTCAGCTATTTCTACCTGCAATTGAAAAGAAATTATACTGTACAATTCTAGGCATCCTTATTGGGAACTAATTCCCATTGAATTCAGTGGAATTTGCATGAGTAAATCTATATCTTTAGCAAATTAGTACTGCACTTTCCAGAACAGGAAATGATCCTGAGAAATCAAGATTTATCCTAGCCACTGAGCAGATGGATTTCCTACGATGACCTCCTAATCGCTGGAGCTAATCCATTGACCAAGGATCTTCCTGTATAACTACCCTGCTTGTGGTTGTAAGCTGAAAATGATTGGCAAACTCACAACCCTGCAGTGTTGAAAAAGATACAGCCGTTCTCCGAAATAAATGATATTTTGGGCATGAATGGTTGGCTGGCTGTAAGCAAGGAGCTGCCATGAATAGGATTTTGAGCATTCTCCATGCATTGACCCACGGTTCCTTCCTCCAGAAGAGATTTCTGCAAGTGCCCCCAAATGTGCCAGGATTACAGATTTTACACATTTTGGGGGTTGCAGTTCTTATATCTGGAGTTTTAATTTTAATTCAGAGCCACGTTTTGCCATGTAAACTAGACACCTTATGAAAAATCGGCCCAAGGCACCCAAGATTTAAACCATGAAGGATGATTGTTGCTCTTTTTTGCTTAAATCCATCTTGAGGAAGGTGGGTTTAGACATGATATTAAGTTCCTAAATATATACAGTATTCCTGAATAGAATTGTGCTGTTGATTGCAATAAACAATATATCTTTTATTTTAATATCACTGTTGCAGGAACATTTGCACTTTGTGACAGAAATATCACAGGATGAGATTTTTATCTTGGATCCAGAATTGGGGACAGCTCAACCAGCAGGGACACCTCCAGGAATGCCTGACCTGGTGGTAGAGCAGGCTTCTGGGTAAGACTGGCTCTTGGGTTTCTGGATTTTTTAGGTTCTCTTCTTTTATTTTCATACACAATTTTCCATATCCCTAAAAGTGGATCTCACATGGAGGTTTCTGTTCAAACATATTCTTTTCTAAGCAACTTGATCCTTCTGTTTTTCAGTTGCTTTGAGCTGTAACTTCAAATCATCATTGGCTATGATGAATGGCACAAAGCAACTAGAAGTCACTACATCACCTACATCATATCTATATTTATACCTTCAATGTCTGTCATCACTGCAGTGTACAGTGGGAGGGTGACACCTTAATCTATTCCCTTCCCTTCTTTATACAGTTTTTAGTGGTGCTTCTGATATTGCTGGATTTCAATTCCCAGCAGCCCAAATACGGCCAATGATGAAGGATATTAAGAGTTGGGATTTGTTGGCTTTTGAAGGGTTAGACCCACAAGGAGTCATAACAACTTGGCAACAGTTGGGACCAGAATTTCTATCACTAAGTGATGCAGTCATTTCTTAGTGATGGCAACCTGGGTAGTCCCAGCTTTACTTATTTTATTTATTTATTAAATCTATATGCTGACTATCTTGCTATCTAGATAGATCCTGGAAGAGCAGTTGCTGTCGTAATCCCAGGATCACATGGGTTGTTAAATGGGAAGAGATGGGAGTCCTAGGCAAGCAGATTCACTGGTGAGAGCTTTGGGTGAGAGCTATTGGCAGGCAGGTGGGTGTCATGAGGGATGCATTCATAAGTGCCACAGGCAAGCACTGGAGTTGCTCAAGTGGCATGATAGTGCATGGGTGCTATGGACAGATGCTAGGGAGAAGATGAGTTGGTGCCACAGGAAGGTCTGCAGGGTGCTGCATTCATCTGCAGTGTTCCTGAGCACAGATGAATGTGCAGGTGCCACAAAAGGGTACAAGGATGCCACAGGCAGGCATTCCTGAGCGTGGGAAGGTGCACAGTTGTTGTAAGAGTATGTGCAGTGCTACAGGCAGGGGTTACTGAGCAGGGGTTACTGTGCAGGTGTTGTGAGTAGAAAGTAGGGAGTGCAGGCGGATAGGTGAAGGAATGGCAGGAACACGAGTGACTTACCACTTCCTGCTGGCCTCCCCATTGACTTTGTGGGAACCAATAGGAAATGTCAGAAGTCATGATCATAAGAATCCGAGGGCACTGTAATAGCTGGTACTCCAAGGATCCATCAGAAGTCCCCCTTGTTCAGCATCATTGTAACTTTGAATGGTTGTTGAATGAGTGGCTGTAGCTTGAGCACTACCTGTATGGAACTCTGTAACTACCGCATTGAAAGCAGCTTGGAGAGAAAATTGTAGCATAGAACATTGATAGAAAATAGATTATCCCAGCTGCATAAACTTCAGAATAGCATTCCTTTTGAAGACTGCCTTTCGAAAGTGAAAATAAAACTGCAAGGAAAACATATGAAAACAATCTTTCTTCCTTTTTCACCCTTTGTAAGAAGTGTATCCAAGGGAGTATTAGCCATTTCTAGGTGCAATCGTTTTGAAATATTTATATCACAAGATAGAAAACAACATATCAGGTCCAAGATGAAATCACAAAATAATAATAAAAAAAAAATTAAAGGAAAATAAACATAAAACACCTTACATGTAGATTCAGCAAAATGTGCATTAAGTAAACCATGGTAGAAACCTGTAGTAGGGCACACAAGACAGTGTCGGCTGGTGACTCCCAGGGAGCGGGCCTTCTCTGTGGGCGCGCCTACTCTGTGGAATCAGCTCCCCTTGGAGCTCTGGATGGCCCCTGACCTTCGCTCTTTCCGCCATGACCTCAAAACATGGTTATTTGGCCTGGCCGGATTGGACTGAAGGGTTTTTTTTAAGGGGATTGTATTGATTTTTATATTTGGATACTGAATTTTATGTGTTTTTTATCATTGTGAGCCGCCCTGAGTCCTTTGGGAGAGAGGGCGGCATACAAGTTAATTAAATAAATAAATAAATAAATAAATAAATAAATAAATAAATAAATAAATAAATAAATAAATAAATAAATAATGTGATTCCTATCTATAGACCTGAAACTATAGATACATGTGTGTTTATATTTAAGTAGTTACCTTGTGTTTCCAAGAAAAAGTAGTACAGGTAGTCCTCGACTTACAACCACAATTAAGCCCATAATTTCTGTTGCTAAGGGAGGCATTTATTAAGTGAATTTAATGACCTTGCTTGCCAGTTGTTAAGTCAATCACTGCAGTTCAGTTTAGTAACACCGTTAAGTCAATCTGGCTTCCTCATTGACTTTGCTTGATAGAAGGCCACGAAAGGGGGTCAGATGACCCTGAGACACTGCAACCGTTATAAATATGAGTCAGTTGCCAAGCATCTGAATTTTGATCATGTGACCATGGGGATGCTGCCATAGTCATAAGTGCAAAAAAATGGTCCTTAAACAGCACTTTTTGCAGTGCTGTTGTAACTTCGAACGGTCACTGAAATGAACTGTTGTAAGTCAAGGACTGCCTGTAGTCCATTAGTCCCTTATAAGATATCTGTATGTTCCTTTCATCTTTCTCAACTCTCACTAAGTGAGTTGTTGAGTCTACCATTAGTGTTGCAATTCACATACAATTTTATGAAATTACTGCAAGAGGCAGATGAATAAACAAGAGGATAGTGTAGAAGAGGGCAAGAAATGTTGGGAATCATTGATTGAACCAACCAACCAACCCAACAAACTAATGACAACAGCAACAACAAAAAAACTGAAAAATAAGTTGTTTTTGGAAGCAATCATGTTTCCTATTTGAAAATGTTTCTCTTCCTAGAATGTCCGATCGGTGGAATCCTGCTATTCGAAAGCGCATGTTGAGTGACAGCGGTTTGGGCAAGATGTCCCCTCATTATGAAGTACCTGAGAAACAAAAGGAGGCCAGCCAGGCTCACCTGCTACAGTGAGTCCTCTGGATTTTTCAAGGCTTGGTTCTGCATTGCTTCCTTAATCAGAGGCAATACAAACTGCTCTTTAAAATGCATTTGGTTAAATTCGCTGCCTTTTTAAAATCAATGTCTTTTTCAACAGTCTTGCAATTTAAGATGGGGCTATGTAGAATAATGTAAGAAAGCTTCACAGGTCCAATTCTAGCACAACAATATGTGCACTTGCTGGATTCACTATTTCTGTCTGTCTTAATTTATATTCTAAAGAGTAGTTTATGTTAACTGTTATTTGATGAGCAGAACTCAATGGCTGGATTCATAGATAATGCTGAGCCACAAACTATGATGTACGAATTATGGTGTTTGAGCTCATAACTGTGCTAAGCTATAGTTTAGTAGTATTTGATTGGTTGGTAGCTGTTGTCCATGGGCTCAATTTCCCAACCTCACCTGGAGTTGCCAATGATGGCATTGTAAGCCTCTATCAATACATCAACCCAACAACAGCAGTGAATAGCCAAATTTGGGGATGAATTCTACGGCTAATACAGTTGTTTAGCTGTTATCAAAATTATTTCACGATGATAGTAACAGTTGAAATGACAGATTGCAGGTCTGAGGAACCTATAACTCTACATATCTAATTGGAGTATCATGACTATCATTTTTCATTCATTCATTCATTCATTCATTCAGGAATCCAACAACATCCGATCTCTTAAACATACAGCTGACTGTCCCTGTAACCAACTCTGGTGGCCTGATCCTTTCAGAATGATTCATCCAGTTCCTGTAGATTCACAAGTCCAGATACTGTTGTAACATGCAGTAGTCTCAACTATACATGAACTAGTCGTTTTAAGAGATAAAAATATATTCATAAAGCAAATGTAATTGCATACAACAGTTTACCTGTTTATAACGTAATACTGAAGTGTATAACAAGCTGGGAGGTGCCAATTTGACCTTCCTCCTCACTTTAAAATAATAATAATAAAAAAAAACTCTCATAATTTCTGTTTTCTAGAATACTTCTAGCCTCAGGAAAGATCCAAAGATTTCTTAGAAAATGAAAGAAAGAAAAAGGAAAGAGGAAGGAAGGCTAGAGTCCAGTGTTTATGCTTTCTTGCAAGAGTAAATGGGGAAAGTTGAAAGTATCTTGCAGGATTGGAACCAAGGGGGAGGATATATGGAATTCCAATAAATTGATAACTGGCTGTGTTTTCTGTGAATAATTGTTCTTACCTGTAAGTCATCTTGTGCCTAGAACTTTTTCCCAAAATTACAAATGCATCAAACAGAGAAAAAAAAAAAGACAATCCTTGAAATAATAGAAAAAGTTCCATTTTCTCCCTGCCTCCCTGATCTCTCTTTTGATCAGGAAATAATAGGTATTTCCCCTTTTCTCCTCTCTGTTCTCATTTGTATTATTTTCCTTTCCTTTCACTCAGTGTATGCTTTTCAATTTCATTTGAAATGAAGGAAAGGATGGGTAATAAAAGTCCTGTTGCAGGAACTAGAAATGTGATCGTATGTCAGGTTTCTCATCATTTGGGCAGTGAAGAGAGACACCTGATAATGAGATCTTCATAGAATTTGGCTTCTTCATAAAACTTTGGATTAAAACTATATATTCAAAATGGGAAGATGGAGGAAATGCTTTTGCTAACTGCATTCATCTACTTCTTTTTTTTAAAAAAATGTTTTTGAATTGAAAATTGTATCAAGCCATATTTTTTTAAAAGAGTGGACAGTTTTGTATGTAAATAGAGGAAAATCAAAGAATGTAAGTGTTATGTATGTATCTATTTTGTGCGGGAAATTCAAATGTTCAGTGAATTCTGATTGGTTCATGGTTGCCTCTGAAAAGTATATAAAGAGGACTGTTGCCTGTGTTTCTTTGCTGAAGTCTCACCCTGAATTAAAGAGCTGTTGTCACTAGCTTGCTTGTGCCTCTCGTTATTCCCGTGCTACAACATTGGCGATGAAGGTGGGATTGAGGCCACAAGAAGCAAATCAAAAAGAGCTCTGAGTTTCAGCCAGGGTGACTAGCGAACACGGAGACACGGCATGTCTGCCTACGTTCCGCCAAAACCTTTCGACCCGACCCGAGAAAAGTGGGGATCGTATCTGACCAGGTTCGAGTGCTCCCTGGAAGCTAGCGAGATGCAAGGGCTATCAGCAAACCGAAAACGAGCCCTGTTCTTAAGCCACTGCGGGCCAGACGTCTTCGAGATGGCTGAGTCCCTCTGCAAGCCAACCCCAGTCCAGACGGTCCCCTGGGATGACCTTCAAGCAAACCTGAGAGCCCACTACGCTCCAGTACCTTCGAAATTCGTACAGCGCTACGAGCTCCGACAGCATGTACAAAAAGAAGGAGAACCGGTCAGCGCATATGTGGCTGCACTTCGAAAAGCCGCAACGCATTGTGACTACAGAGACTTAGACGACACGCTACTTGAGCAATTGATTTGCGGCGTTAAAGACACTCGTTTACAGAGGCGCCTCCTGGCCAAGCCAGACCTAACACTAGCCGGTGCGTTGGACGAAGCCCGAGCACACGAAGCATCAACGAAGGCTTCTGAAGCGCTGCAGCGACCACTATCAAGCAAAGACGGACTGAAAACAGTCCCCGTTCACAGAGAGGAGGCGCGAACCAGCACAGAGGAAGAGTCGGACGAGGACGTCTTCCATACAGAAAAGAAGAAGAGTGAGCAAAGCCGCCGCTACGAGAACTATCCTAGCTGTGGCGGGGACCACAAGAGACAATCGTGTAAATACAGAGACGCCATTTGCAGGCGTTGCGATAGGAAAGACCACCTAGCATGAGTTTGCAGAGCTCAATTTCCGCGTAGTCGCAAGCCACGTGACTACCGTGACCAACCAGAACCGGCTCGTTCAAAACAGCCAATCAAAGATGACGGCGTGAGAAAATGGCACGAATCTCAAAAGCGAGAGACCTACAGCACGAGAATCGGCCCAGCCAGCACAACCGACGATGAGAAAGTCTACACGAAAGTAGAAATCGAAGGCAGACTGTGCGAAATGGAAATCGACACCGGGTCTACACTATCAATCATGTCCTGGACAACACTCAAAGCGCTCCTGCCCAAGGAGCCCAGCTGTCCCGACAGAAAGTTCGCCTCCTCGACTACCAGGGAAACCGAGTTCCCGTAGAAGGCGTGGGCACATTCCGGGTCATCTACGGTGAGTTCCAGAAAGAGCTGCCCCTGACCATCGTAAGCAAGCTGCTACCAAGTCTCCTGGGCATGGCGTGGTTCTGAGCCCTCGGCATGGGCTTCACGGGCGTTCACAGCATCGGTGGGCCATCCCTCAAAGAAACCCTTCTTCACGAGTTTCAGGACGTTTTCGAAGAGACTCTAGGCAAGTACGTGGGGACCCCTATCTCTTTTAATTTAGACCCCAACGTAGCGCCAATCAGGCTAAAAGCAAGATGGGTTCCATTTGCTTTAAAGCCCAAAATTGATGCAGAGCTCGACAAGCTCATTAAGCAAGGGGTGTTAGTTCCCGTAGATCACGCCAAGTGGGAAACCCCAATAGTCACGCCAGTTAAATCGGACGGATCAATTAGAATTTGCGCTGACTATAAGTGTTTGATCAATAAGGTGCTGCAGTAGAGAGCCTATCCCGTTCCGATCGTCCACCATCTACTACACTCCCTGGGGCCTGGCAAGCTATTCGCAAAACTAGACCTTGCGCAGGCGTACCAGCAGCTGCCAGTAGATGACGCTACGGCAGAATCGCAGACCATAGTAACTCACAGAGGTGCCTTTAAATGCACTAGGCTACAGTTTGGGGTTAGCATCGCCCCGGGGCTCTTCCAGAGTACCATGGAGCGCCTTCTACAAGGCCTCCCAGGAGTCGTCCCGTATTTTGACAACGTTCTAATTAGTGGCCAAGATGAGACTCAGTTAGGACATAGGGTTAGACAAGTCCTAACCAGATTCCGAGAAGCGGGACTCAAACTCAAATGAGCAAAATGCAAGATAGCGGTTCCATCAGTGGAATTCTTAGGCTACCGAATCGACGGCACGGGCATTCACCCCACAGAAAGCAAAGTCAGGGCCATCCAGAACGCGCCCACCCCTAAATCGAAGCCCGAACTACAGGCCTTCTTGGGGCTTCTTAATTTCTACACCATGTTTTTAAAACACAAAGCCACCATTGCGGAGCCACTGCACAGGCTCCTTGGAAAAAACGTTCCCTGGGTGTGGGGCAAACGAGAAGCGGCTGCATTCAACACAGTAAAGAAACTTTTGTCTGAGGACGGTTTCCTCATCCAATACAATTCTGAACTACCTCTAGTATTGGTGTGTGACGCTTCCCCCTTTGGTGTAGGCGCAGTTCTAAGCCATAGACTGCCGAATGGGTTAGAGGTGCCCATCGCCTATTACTCTCGCACTTTGTCCAGTGCTGAAAGGAACTATAGCCAGCTGGACAGGGAGGCATTAGCGGCTGTAGCTGGGGTCAAAAAATTTCACGAGTACTTGTTTGGCCATACTTTTGAACTTATTATGGACCACCAGCCTCTTTTGGGACTTTTGGCTGGAGATAAACCGACCCCGGCTGCACTTTCTCCCCGGATGACCAGATGGTCCATTTTCTTAGCCGTCTATTCCTACAAACTGCTCCACCGGCTGGGCAAGACTCTGGGACATGCTGACGCCCTCAGCCGATGCCCCTTGCCCGAACTATTGGACAACCCAACTCCGGAGGCCCCAGTGCTACTCATTGACGTTGTATCCCCGGGCCCCATTTCATCAAGCGAGGTGGCAAAGGTTTCTGCCAGGGACTCTGTCTTATGCACTGTAATGGGCTGGGTTATGTGGGGTTGGCCTACCAAGATGGACAGTGGGGATTTTCAATTGTACTTTAACAAGAAAAATGAACTGTCAATGTTGGGGGGTTGCTTATTGTGGGGAGACAGGGTGGTCATTCCCTCGCGGTTAAGGCACAGGGTTTTAGAAATGCTGCATGAGGGACACCCTGGTAT